AAAAATTTCTTGAAATACCTTTCAAGAAAAAAAACACCATATCCTAATTTACACCATTTGCTAGGCTGCAATATGATTAATAGCTCATCTCCCCAGATGTGAAGGTCACAATTCCCTATATTTTTGACTGAAATGTTATCCTGTTTTTCTGCATTTGAGTCTATGGGGATGACATGTATAGATATTCTTGAATGTAAGTTTTGGAATCTCTTTTTAACTCTATCAAAGGCAAGCTGTTTAGGAAATATATAAAGGTAAAGGTTCCCATTGCACATATGTGTTAGTCAGGGGGTGGTGCTCATCTCCGTTTCAAAGCCAAAGAGCCGAAGACATCTCTGTGATTATGTGGCCGGCATGACTAAGTGGTAAAGGTGCACAGATCGCTGTTACCTTCTCACCAAAGTGGTCCTATTTTTCTACTTGCATTTTTTACATGCTTTCGAACTACTAGGTTGACAGAAGCTGGGACAAGTAACGGGAGCTCACTCTGTTACGCGGCGCTAGGGATTTGAACTGCCGAACTGCCAACCTTTCTGATCGACAAGCTCAGCTATCTTAGCCACTGAGCCACCGTGTCCCTTTGACGGATGCGGTCAAAGGAATTATATGTAGGAAATACATACAGGGATTCAAACCATTTCCAATGATTGGAATTTATATTTGGCTGACTTGTGTGGCTTTGGGTAAAGATAGTCCTAGAATAGCCTGCTGAAACCAACAATGTAGTCCATAAGACAGTCTTTAGGATCTAGGCATCCAAGGGTGCACAGATAGATAAATTCAGTTAACCTGCTACCCATCAACAGGCTGTGGCAGTCAGTACTTCCTGAGTGCTCCTGTGGTCTCTTTTCCATCACCAGGATGATTTGTGTCTCTTGTAATCTAAGAGTCTTTGATCCAAGGCTGAATGTTCGTCTGCTTAATAGAAATCAGCAGCATACTGCCAGCTAATCATTAAGTAGTACAGATTGTCCTTGCTTAATTCACTGGCAACTCCCTCACTAAATAACATGGAAAGACTGGTGATCATTAAACAAATCATCCATCGGCATTAAGTAAGACATCATGTGACCACAACTTGTGATTTTTATAGTATTGCTGGTTAGCCCCTTAAATCTGCTTGACATTAGCTGGATATGAAGCATAAAAATGGCAACCATGTGACTGTGGAATATTGCGACAATTATAAATGCACACTGGTTACTAAGCATCCAAATCATGATCATGTGACTGTGGGGATGCTATGATGGTCATAAGTGTGTGGACCTGTCATAAAATTATTTTTAAGTAACTAGCTAACTTCAAACGGTTGCTAAACAGAACAGTAATTAAGTAAAGGACTGTCTGTATTTCAAAGTCATTTCTGGGAAAGAGCTGGAGATTCAGCCAGCCATACTTATTCTCCCTGCTCTCCCCTCCTCCCGCAATTGAGTTTCCCATTGTTTTTGCTCCTCTTTCATTTCCCCAATATCAGTGTGAGTCTATCTAGAAAATACAAGTTATAGGATACTGAATTATCTGCATGCCTACCCTTCCTCTTATCAAATCACAGTTCATTATCTTACATGGGTTTGAGGTGGATTGAATTCCATATTATATACTCTGCCACTTGCTGGATGAATCCAACGAGCACTAAGTCGGTCTTTAAGAGTCTCAAATGGGATATTCAAACTTATCACTAGATCCAGTTCACATATCCTGTCAAGTGCTTCAGCTTGACCCAATGTCCTTGGAAAACCTATATGAAAAAGTGAATAAAAAATAAAAAATTGTGGAATGAACTCAGAATGTTAACAAAAAAAACCCCTTATTTTATAGCCTTAAAATAGCAATTCCAGTTATTTATTACCATGTATTTACAATGTTTATAGATCACACACAAAGCTGCTCCAAAATGGCCACAGCATAAATACACCCAATAAAACCTACAATAAAATATATAAAATAACAATTTAAATAACCACTGAAGCAAAGGAGGAGGGGGGGGAGGAGAAGAAGAAGAAGAAAGAAGATGAATGGAAACTGAGAAATAGTTATGGAGAACCTATCAAGAGATCGTTTCAGTCTCCTTTACGGGAGTTCCTTTAAAGAAGCAAGAAAGTATTAACAATCTCATGGATTCAATTCATCACTTCTCCACCCACTTCTTGGCAGCAGCCTGCATGAGTAAAATCCAAACTGCATGTGGAAGAGAACAACCTAGATTGTACCTGTTCTACTTCCCTCAAAGTTCCCAAGGCAGAAAGATCCCCACATAAGATGACAAAATGATGATCAAATTACCACAAAAGAATCAGTAGTCAGAAGTTCAACAAATCTGAGCACTTCTGACAGCCACATGCTTTACAAATTGATCACAATGGCCAAGTAGTTAAATATTTGCAATGACACCTCCCTAAAAATAGTCAATTGCTTTAGGCTCTTCATTCTTCAGAGAAAGGGCAAAAATAACTTATGGTTCTGCATTCAATCAAGCAAATTGTGTTGCATAAATTCAAAGGTTGTAATCATATACTGGCTTATATTTTATGTTGAATTTAGTGACATGTTTTTGAGTTCTAGAACATCCAGAATCCAGATATTTTAGAGCATGCACAGCCAGAAGATTGCCTTTTTTTTCTATGAGTGTAAAATGGCCCATTCATCTACGTACACATAAAGAAGGCAACTATTGAAAGAACCAGGATGGCAAAAAAATATGAAATAGAATAAACATGGGTTTTTTTCTCCTATAAATACACAAAACAGATTTCTTTTTCTGTAAGCACGTTTAACTCATTAATGCCTTTTCTTAAAATGGTGAGAATTACTATATAGAGAAATTGTGTATTAATCTAAGTCATTCATAAGGAAACAACACCTCCTTTCACAAAAATGCCACAAACCATGTACATCAGTTCCCAGGGCCTCAACCCCACACTAGTTTCATTATATAGCAAGGTGGCACCATGGGAACATTTCCCATCCCATCAGATACTATATTTCCCTGATGGCAGGATGATTCAAGCCAAATATTATTTTAATATTTTATTTCAATCTGCTTAAGATTCATAATTTTCATATGAATTTATGTGTTGTTTCAACGCATTGAGAGCCACCCAAAGTTGGTTGAAAGTTGAGTGGCAATGTTTTAAATAAAATAAATAATCTGTATTTTAATTTTAAAAAATGGGAAAGGCAGCTGCTTATTAACCATAAGCATGCACAAAACATATTAATGCTCATAGCTTTCCCTCATTTATAAGCCACTTCGATAGAAGTATCATTTCACCAGCTGATATTAGTTTTAAAGTCAAGAACCAACTCTTACTTGGATACCTGTTTCCAGGTCTCTGCTTATATTTTTAAAACTATTTCTTTAGGGCAGTTGGGAACCTCACTCTTGCTTACAAGTCTCCTCCTTATCCATTAATTATCCTGAGCTTCACATGGTAATTTCTACTGTCTTTCCCAGAAATGAAAGAAAATCAACTATTTTCTCCAAACCGCACTCTGAAGCTATTATTACCCATGTCTTAGTTAAAGAGTGCACAGATTTCTTTAACAGTACCAGATAGCCTTTCATTAATATTTTAAAGTGATATGAGGACTTACCATTTGAGAATGAATTGGTATTACATCAGCTCATTTGATTGAATCGAGTGAGAATCGGCTTCATATACCTGTGAAGATTTTCCTTCTACATGACAAGCAGCTCTTATACCCCTTCTCTAAATATGTATGGAAGGAATCTTCCCATTAAGACACCAGGGGTTCTCATTTTTAATTGGCTTAGGTAGCTTGAGACAGCAAAAGTTATTCAACTTACTTTTTTTAAAATTTAAAGTTGCTTCTATTCTATACAAGGGCAAATACTACTCTTCAAAAATAAATTTATTCCATTATTTTAGAACTCTTTTTAAACAAAGACAGAATCAGGATTCTGAAATCTAGTTTTTCCAATTTTCCTACAGCCATTTATGGAAGCTTCAAATTATCTATACTCAAATAAGGTTGTGTTGTTGTTGTTTTTTTAAAGAAAATACAATACAATAGCAGAGTTGGAAGGGACCTTGGAAGTCATCTAGTCCAACCCCCTGCCTAGGCAGGAAACCTTATACCGTTTCAGACAAATGGCTGTCCAACAT